GAGTCAAACTCGCCAGCTCTCAGCACTGCACCAAAGGCAGAGCACACAAATACCGCAGAGCTCATCTCATCTCCCATTCACAAAGAGCACGGCCCGCAGGAGATACCTCACACTCCACGTCTCTTTGCATTACTATCACAGAGACATCAAAACCAATATCTATAGCATCTTACAAACCTAGTGAATTACTGAAGATTACAAGCCCCTTTTTCCACCGCAGCATCACTCAGATGGGGAGTTTGTCATTTGAATCTGAATAAAACAATTATCTGCTAGATGTTATCATGAACTATGGGATATAAAGAGGATAGGAACCGTCAAAGCAGAAGCGAAAATCCTGCTGTGCCAGAAAACGGAGGGAAAGTAATGATAAAGGAAGATGACAGTTTATGCTCCTAGTTGGAATATAAAGTGCCACCACTGAGAGATTATAGAATTCCACCAGAGTGTTCATTAACTCCTCAGCAGTGATTGGATAATGGCTGTAGAGCCACCACATTAATGCGGCCTGCGGGTGAAATCTGCCGCATTACTCGAAAATTGTGAATTCTTTTATTACTATTCAACGATTTGTGGCCAGAACAAAGCAGATAATGACCTTTTTATGAGAATCAGTTTGTCTCATAAACATTTTATGGGCTAAATAATTTCAAAACATTGCCATCTCATCTTATCCTAATGTTTTTAGATCCTGTGATTGCGTCAAAGTTTGTCATTTAGTGTGTCCATTTATTTTGCTTTCATATTATGCTTGTCTTCTTTTATATCAGATTTGATCAGATCTGTGTGAATGGCTGATTGTTTTTGATTGTGGCACTTTTTTATTTTATTTTTTTTTTTCTCAATGTGTTCTTGATGTATGAAATACATCTTCTACCTTTCTGTCTCTTCTCTTCTACATCTATTACAGTGGGCCCAAAGAGTATGTGTACATTTAACACACAATTAAAGGAATAGTTCACCCAAAAATGAAAATTTGATGAAAATGTACTCACACTCAGGACATCCAATGAGTTTTTTCTTCATTGGAACAGAATTTGAGAAATTTAGCATTGCATGGGTGCCGTCAGAATGAGAGTCCAAACGACTGGTAAAAACATCACAATAATCCACACCACTCTAGACCATCAATGAACATCTTGTGAAGAGAAAAGCTGCATATGTGTAAGAAACAAATCTGTCATTAAGGTGTTTTAACCTCAAACCATTGTTTTCAGGTAAAATATGAGTCCTTAATCCATAATAACGCTTCCATTCCCTGTTGTCCTCTTACATCAAAATCAACAAACATATTTGTTTTGAACTGTTTTTGTAAACAGTGCTTAATTAGTGCATATTTCACTCCTGATTTATTTATTTATTTTACCTGGAGATAGAGGACTCATATTTTGGCCAGATGCAACTGTTTGAAGTAAAAAAAAAAAAAAAAAGACTTATTTGAAAACTACATGTTATGTGTGTTGGAGCAGCGTTGGAACAAAACTCTGCAGAGCTCCGGCCCTCCAGGAATTGACTATATGCACGGTTACTTCCTGGTTTTAGATAAGCCAGCTCAGTCATTTTTCGGTCAACTGTTAAAATCAGCTCTGCTATAAGGGGAGCGCCCTTTGCTCGATTTCTCTGCATAATCCATTCACAATTTGAAAGAAAGTAATAAATCAACGGACGGAACAAAACATCTGACGAGCCGATGTCAAAAACAGAGGCTACATGTGGGAACTAATCAATTAACTAGACAAACTGAAAACTAGGTCAAATGAAAGAAACAATGTATACACAAGATATACATGTTACAGTTTTCATTGCCATAAAAATTGGTCACTTAGAGCCCGTTCACAAGGAGACGTGAAAAAATTTGTATCGTATCGGTGTTTTGAGAGCCTGAAACCGCTATTTTTGAATTTTTGGAAAAAAACTCCTATTTTTTGAAACCGGGTTCCAGAGTGGATAGATCGGAAAACGACACCCTTGCGTTTTCGTGTACAGCTAATCCGTATATTTTTGTGAAACGATGATGGTGGTTTCGTGTGTACGGATTTTTTTTTTTAGAACGAGAAAAAAAAAAAAAAAGATTGGATAGGGAAAGGTCTGGCTTCGTGTGGATGTGGCCTATATATAAACTTGTTCTGTCGATCAGCGTCATTTCTGGACAGATCATTCACCGGTTTATTACGAGTTTAAAAGTACGCGAGCGCTGTTGATGCAACCAGACGCGACGCTTTGAATTTGCTTGCACAATGAATGACATCGCGTCAGGAGCTGACTAACAAAATAGCTGCTAAAGTAAAAGCAAAGAAGTTTGTATTTAAAGTCAAAGGCAAACACACTAGAACATTTTTAATGTTTCAATAAAATGACCTCAGTGTGTATCATCTAAATTCTGCTGATGATTACATTACTGCTCTAACATAAAACTTAATTTACGTTTCAACTAACTAGAAATGTCTCTTTAACTTCATTTGTATGTAGTGCATATTTAAGGTAGCAATGCAATGCATAATATCATATTATTAATATTACTAATATGACAATATCTGTAGTCAATATTGATTAAATGGGAGGAGGAAATCTATACCCAGCTAGGAAAAAACAAAATGATAAAAGCACTGATGTTCATTTACTGAATTGGTATTCAGGAACTGTGAATAAATTACTGCAAAATAATAATAATAATAATAATAATAATAATAATATCATGGGTATAATAACATCCTCAATAAACCAAAAAGAGATTACCATAGAAAAAGTTTGATTAATATACATTAATATTGGTCAAAAGTTTGGACACATTAGCTACTATTGCTTTTCAAACAAGTTGCTTATGATCAAGTCTGCATTTATTTGATCAAAAATACAGAAATAAATACAGTAAAAATATATGTTAAATTGAACAAAAGTGATGGCAAAGACGTATATTATAAAATATTTCTGTTTTGAGTAAAAGCTGTTCTTTTTTACTTTTTAATCATCAAATCCTGAAAAAAGTATCAAAGGTTATAAAATAAATATTAAGCAGCACAACTGTTTCTAACATTGATAATAAATCAGCATATGAGAATGATTTCTGAAGGATCATGTGACACTGAAGATTGGGCTAATGGCTGATGAAAATTCAGCAATGCATTACAGAAATATATATTTTAAAGGATGGTAAAAATAGAAAACCGTTATTTTAAACTGTAATAACGTTTCACAATATGACAGTTCTTTCTGTATTTATGTATGTATTTATCACATGAATGCAGACATGATGATCATAAGCAACTTCTTTCAAAAACATTAAAAATAGTAATGTGTCCAAACTTTTGACCGGGACCGGTAAGTAAAAATATACACATTTTAAAATTAAATGTTGTATAAATAAAAAGGTTAGGAATCATATTTGTTTCAAGTGCTTTTTATTGAGGGTGGGGGATGGGGGCCTTGAATTTTGCCTAAGGCCTCCAAATATCTAGAACCGGCCCTGGATATGTACTGCAATGGCATTCATACATTGTTTAAATACGTTCAAATATGGGACCGCTGTATGTCAAGGTTAGGAATCATATTTGTTTCAAGTGCTTTTTATTGAGGGTGGGGGAGCTCCAACATGAATTTTGCCTAAGGCCTCCAAATATCTAGAACCGGCCCTGGATATGTACTGCAATGGCATTCATACATTGTTTAAATACGTTCAAATATGGGACCGCTGTATGTCAACTCACAGATTCACATCATTGATGGTCATTTGTTCAACCTTGAGGAGCTGTTTTTGAGTCCTTGGCCCTTTTGAGCACAGGCTCAAGTTTGTTTGTTCTAGCTTGATTGATTTATCAGTTACATGCCAGGCCATCTGTCTTCATATGAAAACATCACCAAGTCTGTTTTCTGTGTTATCATTATCATGCTTCATAATGTCTGTCCATTCATCTCATCTCTGCTCTTCCATGTCTCTTGACTGGAGGAGTTTCGTCATAATGCCTGAACTAAATCATTTAACAGCTGCAGAGGCTGAAGGCAGTCACAGAGTCAAGATGGTGATACCAACACAAAAGTATCTGCCACTTACAGAGTAAATATAAATACATTTTTAAAGCTTTAAAAATATGAATCACACAATTCAGTGCATAAAAAAATAATTTTCGGTCTGGTTTCACTATCAGCACACAAGCCAAATATGTAAAGTTGAATCTCACAAAACATGGCACGGACATCCAAGCCATATTTAACTTAAAAGACATTCTACACTTTTTTTTTTCACTCCCATATTTCTCATTACCATATATTAACTCTAAATAGTAAATTATCAATACTATAATGTGAAAAAAGAGCTCTGATTCTCATTATTGTAAAAAGGCACATTGTTACAATATGTTTAAATGTTTTCTTAATATATGAATAACATCTACACATAATGTATATTATTTAGAATTACTAATTATTATTTAATTACATAAAAATCATAATTATACTAATTTGTATATTTTTAGTTTTTTTTTTCATGGCAATTAAGCCCCCCCCCCCTCCTGAATGTAATATAAAATAATAATAATAATAATAATAATAATAATAATAATAATAATAATAATAATAATAATAATAATAATAATAATAATAATAATAATAATAATAATAATAAATAATAATAATAATAAAACACCCAGATGCATTAAGGTAATGAAAAAGTGGGGAAAAAATAAAACATGCTTCATAAAACATAATGCAAAACAAATCTTGTGATTTAAAAAAAATGGCTTGGACATGTTTTTAGTTAGTTGGTTAGTTAGTGTGATTCACCCTTAGATAAAAATACATTTTTCAGAAAGTTTTGTAAGACTGGACTCCTCAGTAAAAGTTTTTATTCCCCTTCATTTCACTAACCTGGAGTCTGTGTTCACTGATTGGAGTGACAGCTCTGTTCTCTCTCTTTCTGTTCTCCTCTACGCTCTCTCTGTTTCTCTCTCACTCTGTCGTTCTAAGCTCCAATCCTCATAAATCCTCTCCACCTCTCTTATCTCCAGAATTCTGGTCACAAGGACTGTGATGTCCAGTATGCGGAATTGGATACTGCAGCTTTGGCTTCCTCTCCCAGCCCACGAAGCTCTGTGCACACTGATGGGGACCTTGTCGAGTACGCAACCATCCAGCCTAGCTCACACTAACGCATGCCATTGTAGGCCTTTCCCTCTATGACTCTGGCCTCAAGGTACACAGACTGATGCACTCCTATGTTTCTTTTCCTCTGTTCGCACCTCACTCTCTCTCACTGAGCACTGAATTCCCTCTGTGTTTCCTGATTGTGTCTTCTTTCTTCTGTTGTTTGGTTTTGCTTTTATCTGCAGGGCTCACAAAATTTCAAAATCCCTGGTAGCCCTTCGGGCATTTCAATAATAATAATAATAATAATAATAATATTAATATTAATGTTAACAATAATACTAATAATATTATATATATATATATATATAAACATTGTAAAAGGGACACTAAATGAATGAATATCTGTTTTGTTCTTTTGCAACGACATTTGATGCAAAATACTGAACATATGAACATACGTTGAACCCAAATATGAATGTATTTGCATTAGATAATAATTTTAAGCAAATGAACAAAAAAAGTACTGTATGCATTAGTGACATTGAATACAAAATGCAAAATACATAAAGGCTTACATACTGTGAGCCCAAAAAGTATTTCCACAATCAAAAAATGTATCTTTGCATTAGACATTAAAAACAAAATAAACAACAAAAAATACACTATAAAAAAATACTTATTATTATCATTATTATTTAAAATAGTGCATATTATTGAAAGTAGTGCATTTCAGTGTCCAACACAAGAAGTCTGGTATAGTCTGCATTGTCATGCATGGGGGCTCGAATCAGGCACATCGTGGTCTGAAAAGTGTGATTTTAGAGCTGATTACATTGTTGCAAATGGTTTATATATCATTCAAGAACTTGATTAAGTCAGGAAAACCATGTTTAATCAGGATTCGGAAGATATATATGAGTGGACATTTGGTTAATTGCAATTGGGATGGCCATATGTTAAGCAGCTGTCTTAGATGTGACTAAATACCAAAGCTTCTAATTATAACAAATGAGCTACCGTAATAGTGACACAATAACATGTCACTAATGTCAGTTTGATGGGGTAGTCTGCTTAAAGATGATGTGTGTAATTGTTTCTTTGTCAAAAAAAAAAAATTCTTTGTTTGACATAAGAGACAGCTAAAAGTGGTTCTTTGACACTTACAAAAAAAAAAAAAAAAACATTACTCTGTTTGTTTGAGCATCTCAACACGGCAACACTGGCTTAACCCATGGTGTGAGTGTGGGGTGGGGATTTCTAATTGGTCAACCAATGGTAGATGAGTAGGGTGTTCAGGAAACCTCTTTGAAAACAATCATTATGTTTGCATTTATTTTTTCTAGTAGTGCAGAAATTACATATTTCTGTAAGATGTTGTAATGTGCATGATATGGTATGGTGCAGTACGGCAGCAAAAATATTTTAATGCTAAAAACGATGTCTCTTTCAAATAAATGCTGCTATTCAAACTTTCTGTTCAAATAAATAAATAAAAATAAATAAAATCCTGAAATAAAAATGTATCACACTTTCACAAAAAATATTAAGCAGACACTTATTTGCTTGTTATGTGCAATTAAATGAAAATGTATTACAATTTAAATTTGTATTAAGTGTAATTAGTGAAATTAAGAGTGCTTTGTAACCCACTTAAGTAGGAGTTCAATATATATTAAGATTTATTTATTTTTTCTTGATGAGCAAATCAGCATATTAGAATGATTTCTGAATGATCATGTGACACTGAAGACTGGAGTGATGATGCTGTAACTTCGGCTTTACATCACAATAATACATTACATTTTTAAATTTATTAAAATAGAAAACAGTTATTTTAAACTGTAATAATATTTAACAATATTACTGTTTTTTACTGTATTTTTTATCAAATAAATGCAGCCTTAGTGAGCATAAGAGACTTCTTTCAAAAATATCAAAAATCATACTGACTGAACTTTTGAATGGTGGTGTATGAACTTTTTATTGTTAACATTTTGCTCGCTCAGTAGGTTTCAGAATGTTCTTTTAATGTTATCGCCACTGTATGAGATAAACACAAAAGAGGGTCCAACTTGTGCCTGTTACCATCCAGCCTGGTCTTGTTTATGCGTAGGTATTAATACGTAATATTTACAAGCACAAAACTTACATTTTTGTACGTTTTTATTGATGCTAAAATGTACAATTTAGACGTATTTCAACATTTAAAACGTACAAATCACTACGTATTTTTAGCTAAAAAACGTACAAATATTTACTTATCTTTTGTATCATGATTCGTATCAATGCAGTGCATTTTTATAATTTTATCAATAAGCGATTTAGATTTTTAGACCCCTTAACCTACCCCCAAACCTAAACCTACCCATTTTATAGCGAATATGGCAATGCTATGACGTTTTGAGAAACAATGAAAAATTTGCTCTTTGTCGTGTATGTTTTGCATGATTCATCTACACAGCAGATTCAGTGACGTTAGAGCTGATCTGCGCCTCACTGCAAGCGTCTGCGGCGCGTTACGGATCCACGCCCACCGGAGCTGATCGTGGCCGCTCTAGACAGTGCTTGTGTTTATCAGCCAACCGCGGCACGTTTCTGAAGAGGCTCTCCGCGCTGCTTGGTTAAAAATAGTCTTTTGTGAGTTGTCACAGTATATAAAGCTTGAAGCATCAGAATCGGCATCGGTATTGGCCGATCACCATGACAAGAAATCGGTACTCAGTATCGGCTGCAAAAATCCTGATCGGATTATTGCAAAAATGTCAAAAGCAGCATCAAATGTAATCCAAATGATGCGTTGCACCCCGCAGTCCTCTCTGGCGGAATACAGTAGGTTTGTGTGAGGTGCAGAGCAGAATTTATGTTGTTAAACGCTGAAAATATTATCCAGATTATTTTCCCGATCCACTCCATGAAGGCGCGCGCACGCATCATTCAAACACACCTCACCAGAAACACGGCATGTCGCAATCTGTGACAAATGCAGGCGAAAGCCAATGAGCGTTCAATTATCCTGCCGTAAAACCTGTCGTTTGAAGCGGCAACATTTGAATTTGTAAAGAGCGCGTCAGTCTGCTCACGGTCACTCGCTGCTCAGGATGGAGATGAAGATCACCATATAAAGGCTTGGATTTGGGTCTGTTCCTCGCAATCGTATAATTCGGAAGATTTGGATTACAGCGCACGAATAAAATTGTTTCATTTCATAATTATGTTGCGTTTTTGTTGTATTTTATAGTTCTATTGTCAGTCACAGCATGTCGGAGAAAACGCCTTTTGTGGCCCATGGCAAACAAAGTAAACATTACATGACAAGTAAAGGTTAAACGATTGCAGAAATGTTATTTATTTTAAGGTTTAAAGTGAAGTCTTGTTTGACATGTATGTAGTAACATGTATTGTAACATGTATTGTATGTAGGCCTATTCTTGGAAACGAGTTGGCAGCAGAAATCCCACAACAAAACGAAATGTTATCATTCATATTAAGTAAACGAGTAAACAATTTAATAATGCAATTGAAAACAAGGTAACTGATATGACAACTAATAATAAAATTAATGCTGCGATGTCAATATTCATAAGGATTAATTTTTAGGTGTTGTCAGTATGTCAGTTTTGTACGTTTAAATGCTGAAAATACGTAAGTATTTGTACGTTTAGATGCTGAAAATAAGTCAGTATTGTATGTTTTAGTGCCTGTAAAAACGTAAGTACATGTACGTTTTATAGAACCACATTTTACGTAAAATACATACGAATTATGAGATCATGTTGTACCATCCCAGCGTGCAGGAGATTTCCCATCAGTTCAGAAACTCATCTCTTTTTCTTTTAGATAATAGCAGCTGAGAGGAAGAAGAAAAAGGAAAAAAAAACGTCTGAATGAGTCAGCCTCACTGTTAAAACAAGCAATTAATATCACAGCGTGGAGTTCTCAGAGGGCCACCGCTGCAAACACTGCTGAGCAGGAACATTATAAAACAAGAATAAAATAACTCAACAATTATTTTTATTATTATTATTTTATTTTCAAATCGCTGACAGCCTTTCTTAGTGGAGAATGTAAAGTTTGAACACAAGGGAGCAAAATCAGCAAATGAAATTATTAAATCATTGTTAGCTGCTACAAAGTGTTTCCACATAGAGAGAAGTGACACACTGTGGATATACAGTTTATATATATATATATATATATATATATAGGAGCATGACATTGTCCAGCCATGACTTCCTGTTCCACTGGATTATAAATATGAGGAACACAAAGGTCAAATTCCCTTAATCGTCCATCACAAGTAGTAAAACCAAAGAATATAGTCTGATGTGCAGAACAAGATTGTTGAGCTTCACGAAATAGAAAGTGTCTGTAAGAAAAGAGCTAAAGCATTGAAAATCCCCATTTCCACAATCAGGGCAATAATTAAGAAGTTCCAATCAACTAAAGATGTTACAAATCTGCCTGGAAGAGGCTGTGTGTCTATATCGTCCTAATGCACGATGAGGAGGAGAGTTTGAGTGGCCAAAGAGTATCGACACATGTTGTTCGGGAGGGTTTCAAGAAAAATCCTCCTCGCTCATCCAAAAATAAACTCCATCATATTCAGTTGTCAGACACGACTGGAACTTCAAACGGGACTGGCTTCTATGGTCAGATGAAACTAAAAGTATATAGTCTCCATTGTCATGCATCAGGGCTCGAATCAGGCATGTGTGGTCTGAAGAGTGTGGTTTTACAGCTGAGATTGATTACATTGCTGCAAATGGTTTATATATTATTCAAGAACTTGATTAAGTGAGGAAAACTATGTTTAATGGGGTTTCGGAAGAGATATATGAGTGGACATTTGGTTAATTGCAATTGTGGTGGCCATATGTTAGAAGTGACTAAATACCAAAGCTTTTAATCATAATAAATGACCTACCATGTCAGTTTGATGGGGTAGTATACCTAACGAAGATGCGTGTAATTTGCTGTGTTAAAAAAATAATTATATCATTGTTTGACAGTTATGTGGCTCTTTGACATTTT